GGGTACATGTGTTCACCAGAAGACAGAAAGAACCTAACCTCAGGGCCTTCGCTTCTGTTTCTTTCCTTTCATGATTTTGGGCACACAAGCACATACACACAACATGTTTTTCAGATTGCTGGTTCTAGAACACAAACTGCAGTTGGCCATTTGGGATCTGTCCATAACTGCCCCAATCAGCAGGCTATGGACTGACCCAAAACCGTACTTTTAAACAGTAATTCATTTTCTCCTCCCTCCAGCTCCTGCCAAGCTCTACTTCTTCTATGTATTTTTCCTCTCATACAGTATTTGTCCTTTTCTGCCTGGCTTATTTCACTGTGCATGTTTTCAAGTTTCATTCATTTTATAACATGTACCAGAACTTCACTGCTTCCTATGACTGAATAGTATTTCATTGTATGTGTATGTACATACCATTGTTTATACACATCTGTTGATGGACACCGGGTTATTATTTCTAACCTTTTGATATAGTACAATTTAGTTAAAATTCCCTAATTTTGACACATAACTGGTTTCCAACTTTTTGCTGTTGTAACGATCATCTTCATACAAATACTGTTTTTTCATTAATTTTTTTTCATCTAATAAATTTCTAGTAATGGGGCCTCCAATGGCAGGTTGGTTAAGGTGCCTGGATCCCACATGGTGGACTGCCCAATTCAAGTCTCAGACCCGGCATGAAAAACATGCCAAGCACATGTGCATACATATCCAAAATCCCAAGAGGAGAATGAAGAGGGGATTACAGCATGGTGAATGCTTTCTCACTTTCTATGTCTCTTTCTGGTAAGCACGATGCCCTACAGCAAATTAAAAAATAAATAAATAAAAATAAAAACATTTCTAGCAATGGGAATCCTAGAGCCAGAAGATATGAATATTTCATTTTAGTGGTTCTTACTAAATTAATTCGTATTTTACCCTCTTAATTCACCCTTTTTTCTAGCCTAAAGACTATTAATGTTGGCATCTGTTATAAAGTGTCACTAAAACTAATTGGAAGGAAGCTTTCAAATAAAGAAATTAACAAAGCAGAAAGAAAAGCTCAGAAGAGCTCCAGGAGATGGGCTGCCCAATATTGTATCCACACCCTGATGTTTTCCAATTAATTTGTTATACTAAAAAACACAAAGTGCTACCTATCA